CATCCATCCATCCATCCATCCATCCATCCATCCATCCATCCATCCATCCATCCATCCATCCATCCATCCATCCATCCATCCATCTGGGGTCAGGCAGCAGGGGTAGCAGCTTCAGTAGGGAGGCCCAGGTGTCCCAGGTGAAATCCCAAGGCATTCCCAGGCCATCCGACAAACCTGGGCCTCCCTCTGGGTCTCCTCCCAGTGGGACGTGCCCAGAACAAGTCATGAGTGAGGCATCCTAATTAAATGCCTGAGCCACCTCAACTGGCCTTTCACCATGGAGGAGCAGCGGCTCTACTCTGAGTCCTCCCCGGATGATTAAGCTCCTCACCTTATCTCTAAGGAAGGGCCCAACTAATTTCGTCCGCTTGTATCCAGTATCTCGTTCTTTTGGTCATGATCCAAAGCTCATGACCATAGATGAGGGGAGGAACGTAGCTCGACCGGCAAATCGAGAGCTTTGCCTTTTTGGCTCAGCTCTCTCTTCACCACAACGGCGTGGTATAACGCTTGATTCACAGCAGATGCCGCACCAATCTGCCTATCGATCTCCCGCTCATCTTCCCCCCATTCGTAAACAAGACCCTAAGACACTTGATCTCGTCCGCTAGGGGTAGTACATCCTCCCCAACCTGTAGAAGGCACTCTACCCTTCTGTCTACAGATCTTTGTTCCGATGGGGTTAGAACTGGAAACAGACAGGTTTAACTCCAAACCGTTAGAGTTATAAAAGGATTTCAAACATGGATCCAAACTGGATAGGAAAAAAATAAAACATGCTAACATGGAGTTGATGGAGAGGTCCTAACCTCAACCTTTAAACGATATATGGGCTATATGTATAGCTATAGATTTATGACCACCTACACCTTTAATTATTTCTTTTTCCAGCATCAAAACCTCAAGATCTTTAAACAGGTTCACATGTACATGTAACCTTAAAAAAAAAAAAGAATAAAAAAAATATAAAAGCAATGCAACATTCAGAAAATTGAAGCAGTGGAAAATAAAATAGTGTGTGTGAAATAGCAGTCAGCTCATGATGGTGGAAGAAACAGCAGTAATGGCTTAAAAAGAACGCATTATATATCGGGGATCGGTTAAACTGATGTCAAAATAATCAGTATCGGCCTTAAAAAAACAGTATCTACAGATCTTTCCTAACAATGAAAATAATAAACTATTTCTTGCTTTATTTTTGTGCTTGGAGACATTTTTAAAAGGTATAAATTATTGTGATATTCATGCTGATGAAGTGGAGGAAAGCTCTAACCCTCTCTGTGAGCAAATACGTAACAATGCATTGGTTAGTGTTAATATTAGCCACTTCACATACTGTTTAGTTAAGACATTAGGTGAAACATAGTAGTATTAGCCTCATGTTTATTGAGTGCTGGCCAAAAAAAAAAATGATAGCAGACAGAACCAGCCCATTCCATATTGACCTGATACAATTTTAGCACAAAACATACATGCTTTTACGGTATTACTTATCTCATACCATAGAATGATAGAAGCTGTTTGATCAAGTAATATCAAAAAAAGTAGGGAACAAATTTCAACAGCAAAGATATAGAAATAACTGACCAATTAAAATTAACCAATTGTTTGATTAAATAAACTGTTAAAATAAGCAGAGTGTTTTAGATACCAGCCGATAAAATCCGATATTTTTTGGGCTAAAATCTCACCAATATTAATATCGGATCAGGACATCCCTAACTAATTTTTTTAGGATTTTCTGGTTTAGAGGATCACTGCTGCCACTCTCTGGTTTATAGGAGAACTGCTTTTTCTGTAGGTGATGAATCAAGTCCGCATGTGAGCAACGAATCAGCAGGTAGGGGTGGCCATAGGGGTGACCAGAGTTGTACCACCGGAAGACTGAGAAAGTTAGGTTGCTACGGTGTCCCGTAGGTCCGATCATTGAAAATACAGGCAGATCTGTGACAACCCCGATAATTTCGGTAATTTTTTTCGCAAAATACACAAATATTATGAGAAAGCTCACCGATTGTAGGTTGTACTCCATGTTACATTTCTGATGTTAGCCATGTTAAATTTGTTTAAGTCTTTTTCAATATATCTGTTATAATGTAATAATCTGTTTCAATTTGTAACATTTATAGATATTAATATTTTGTTTATGTGATCAAAGACAAGTAAAACAACCTAAATATCATTTTCAACTAACATATTGGATGTGAAGTATAAGTGGACCAACAAATTATTTATTACTTTAATAAAGACTAACAGTNCCACAGGATGACGATGCCACCACCATTCTTTAGGGTGAGGATGGTATACTCAAGCTCTTGTTTTAGCATGTTTACATTTTTTATAACAAGGCTCTTTGAACTCTTTGAAGCCCAGATTCCAGAAGAGGAAACTGATCATTTTATAAGGCCAATGACGCCTGCTGGGTAGCATTTTCTCAAAAGTAATCAATTGGCAAAGCACAAACTGTTGCCCCATGCTAGAAGTTTTTAACTAACAAGGTACAGAATTATCTTATCAAACTGTCAGTGGCTCTGGGTTATTAGCCTGTTTGTCACTGTAGAAAATTTCCTTGCCACTTCCAACCTCCAAGCAATCTGCGAGGCCTGGTTCTATGTCTGTGTATGTGCCTCAAGCTATTAGACGTGGACCACAGAGAAGCAACAGAAGGAGTATCGACTGGACAAATCCCTGTATTGACCCCCTATAGCTATAGCATCTGCTGTTTTCTACTTTGGCCACAGACCTGACTATCTATGTCAAAGACAAAAATAGGTCCAACGAGAAGGTCAGCATGGCATTACATCACTTGGCAATGAATTAGAAAAAAACCTGAGTGGGTCCAAAGTTTGTGTAATTCATATTAAAAAAGGGATTGTTCAGGTTAAGTTAGGAGATTGTTGGCTGACATTATCATTCTTACATTAGTTTTGTGGGCTGCAGGTTTTTGCTTCTATGTTTAGTGAATGCATCAATTTTTGTTTGCATTTTTTAAATTAAGTATCGGTATATACTTCTATTTTAAGAGACTGCTGTGTTTTTCATTGTTTTTTTTGGTGTTTGCGTGTTTTGGAGTTTGCATCATTGCAGGTGTCTGCGGCTCATTTTGCAGTTTGCTGTACTTTTTCACCTGTTTGCAGTTTGTTTCCATTTTGCTTGCAGCGTTTTTCTATTGCATTTGTTTTTTGTTCTTGCATGTCTTGGAGTTTGCGTAACACCTGTTTTTTCAGCTTGTTTTGTCATTTACAGCGTGTTGGCCATGGTAAGAACCAAACATGGAGAAGCAGCATTTATTTCCTATGCTCTACTGATCTGGAACAAACTCCCAGAAGACTGTAAAAGTGCAGAAAGCCTGAGTTCTTTTAAGCAAAGTTAAAATCCCATTTGTTTAGAGCTGCCTTTGATTGTTGAGTTAAATGTTAACAGAGTTATCGTTAGTTCAAGTTTTAGGTCCAACTATTGTATTTGCTTTTATCATATTTTTATCTTTACTTGCTTTTATTCTGATTTTATTTTCATTTAATTCAGTTTTACTGTTACTGTACTCGGCTGCTCAGTGGAGCAGTGGATAGCACTGCTGCCTTGCAGCAAGAAGATCTGGATTCCTGGCCTTGCTCTTTCTGCATGGAGTTTGCATGTTCTCCCTGAGCATGCATGAGTTCTCTCTGGGTACTCCGGCTTCCTCCCACAGTTCAAAAACCTGACTGTTAGGTTAATTGGCTTCTCTAAATTCTCCTTAGGTGTGAGTGTTAATTGCTGTTTGTCTCTGTGTTTCCGTGTGATGGACTGGTGACCTATCCAGGGTGTACCCTGTGTCTCGTCCATAGACAGCTGGAGATAGGCACCAGCACCCCTCCCAATAATTTACACCTTTAGGTGTAAATTACACCTATGCCATGGTGTATTTTTTCCCCCTTTCTACATCAGGAATAACATTATTATGATTGTGAAAATCATTCTTGTGACCCCTCTTTGGGGCCAAAAGAGGGGTTAGAGTGTGAAGCCTGTGTGAATTTTGCTGATATTAACCACTTTTGCTGCCTTTTTAACTGAACATTAGCTGAAACTCGTGTCTTTTCTCTTTTATTGCTTAGTTTGTAATGAAGAGGTAAACGGTTTGTGTTACATTCAGTTTTTGAACAAGATTTCAAGAAAAAAGAGCAAGGAGCCGCATTACCCACGTTCTGTGAATGTCAGCGAACGCCCCACAGAGACGCCGTTGTCTCTTTAATAAAAAGTTCAACGTCCAACAAAGTGTGCTAGGCTCCAAAATGGATCTGAAAGAGTTGGCTGTGAACGCGTTGGCCCAGAATAAGAAAGCGTCTCTTCTGGTCGGCGCAGCCGGAGCTGCTCTTCTGGGATTTGGACTCGGATATAAATACATGCGGAAGCCAGAAAAAGCCGTTCGTGTGGGCGTAGTGTCGCAGATCCTCATCTACCCTCTCAAGTCGGGCAAAGCGGTGCCTGTGAGTGTTGCAGAATGCCAGAGATTGGGCCTAAAAGCTGGAGAGCTGCAGGATCGGTGAGTGCTACAAAACAAGCGCGTTTCATCTGTCAGTGATGTCCAGATCAGCTGTCATGGATTTACTCTCATGATCCCACATAACCTGCAATACAAGCCCTCATTAGAAAACATTGCTGGAAAAATATCGGAAATATTTAATAGTAGACATGGGCAAACTTCATGGACTTTAAACTGTTCTAGAGGTTAGAAAGTTATTCCTTTCATTTGTACAAAATAATATGAAACACCACTATAAGGTTGTTAGAATCCGAATCAGAATTTACAGCCTGGATTATTTTCCCCCTCATTTTGTCACATTGATAACGGAGTATTTTTATTGAGATTAAGTGGAAAATATGTGCTTTAAAAAAAGAGTTTAGGAAATTGGGAAAATCAGTTTCCAGTTTAAGAGCAAGAAAAAATGCACATGTTTAACAGCAATATTCTGGACAGGCTGTTATATAATCAGTCCCACCTCCTTGGCTTTTGTACAGAAGAGGATTAGGGCCACTGAAAAAATAAAAAAAGTTAACTGATTTTAAAATGTTATTTCAGTTTAAGATGGAAAAAAATAAGGTCAGAATTCTGACTTTAATCTCTAAATTCTGACTTTAATCTTGGAATTCTGACCTTAATGTCAGAATTCTGACTTTAATCTTGGAATTCTGACTTTAATCTTGGTATTCTGACTTTAATGTAAGAATTCTGACTTTAATCCTAGAATTCTGACTTTAATATCAGAATTCTGACTTTAATCTTAGGATTCCGACTTTAATATCAGAATTCTGACTTTAATCTTAGGATTCCGACTTTAATATCAGAATTCTGACTTTAATCTTAGGATTCCAACTTTAATATCAGAATTCTGACTATACAGTAATTTTAGAATTCCGACTTTAATCTTGGAATTCTGACTTTAATGTCAGAATTCTGAGTTTAATCTTGGAATTCCGACTTTAATATCAGAATTCCGACTTCAATCCTGGAATTCCGACTTTAATCTCAGAATTCCGACTTTGTTATCAGAATTCTGACTTTAATCTCGGAATTCTGACTCTGACTTCCATCTCAGAATTCTGACTTTTTTTTCAGAAATCTGACTGAATTCTGACGTCTAACAAACAAGTTAGTATCAAGCTGTAGCCATGTCTGTTTTAGAGACTAGCTCTCTTGTTTAATCACTTTCTGCTCTCCCATTAATTAAATAGAATGACCAGGGACCCCTCGGGCATGTAAAAAGTTGCCTAATTTCGTCATTTGCCACCAATGTGTTACTGGTCCTAAACAACTCACATCTTTGTCAGTGAAGCTGAGTGATCCCACATCTCTTCCTTCATGGTGCCCATCTACATTAAGATCCAAAATTCTGAGATTAAAGTCAGAATTCTGAGATTAAAATCAGAATTCTGACTTTTTTCTCATATTATACTGAAATAAAATGTAAAAATCAGTAAACATTTTTTGTTTTTTCAGTAGCCCTAATCGTCTTCCGTACTTTTCATTCCATTGGTGTAGCTCTTAATTTCCGAGTGCGGTGCTTTTGAGGCCTGAATTTGGATTTAATCCAGGTACTGTATGCTGTTTGTTGCTGCTGTGATGAGTCCATCCTTGTGTACCTTGTGTTTGCAGACACTGGCTGGTGGTGACGGAGGAGGGCAACATGGTGACTGCCAGACAACAGCCCCGTCTGGTCCTGGTGTCTCTGTCCTGTAAGGGGGGTTATACTTATTTGAATGGACCAGACATGGAGGAGCTGAAGTTTCCAGTTCAACAGCCTGATAACCAGATCCACAACTGCAGGTTTCATATTATTATTATTATCTCAACCAGAAAAAAAGCTCACTGAAATCCTGAGAGATTTTTTTCTCAGATTTAGGTTTTGTGTATGTTATGCAATGTCTATTAGCAGAGCATGGCATCATCTGATACTGATTTGATTTTTATTTATTTATTTAGTCCTTTCCTGTTATATCAAGGGGAAAAAAAATAAATCCATTCTTTATTATTTTATCACATAGAAGTAAATTTTTTTTCATATCAGGTTTCAGATTTTCTTCCTTATTAATGATGTTGTTTTATCCTTCATCTCTCACCTGCTAATTCTAAAATATTTTCTTGCTTTGCAGAGTTTTTAGTAAGGATATTCAGGGCAGGGACTGTGGCGACGAGGCGTCTCACTGGCTCACCAGTTACCTTGGGGGGGAGAAGACTTATCGTTTGGTTCATTTTGAGCCTAAAATGAAGCCCAGGAAGTTATCTGCGGTTGAGACGCTTTCCCTTCAGTTCGAGGTAGCGACCATATTCTGCTGCTTTGCTGCATTTAATTCCCAGATTTTTAGTCTGTTCATCTCCCTGCTGTAAAGTGTTAACAACTGTAATCCAGCAGGTGGCGTACCCAGATTATGGACCTGTGATGCTGCTGTCCGAAGCATCTGTTGGGGATCTCAGCAGCAAATTGGATCAGAAGGTCACCACAGAGCGCTTTCGCCCAAACCTAGTGATAGGTGACTGCAAACCATTTGATGAGGTGTGTCAAAAAAAAAACATCACTGCTACAACCACAAAACACCCTAAATAGCAAATGTAAGCGTTTATTCCTTTTCTTTCCTCACTGCTGCCTGAACAGTTTTCTCTCGGTTGTTTGTTTCTGACTAATAGCTCGCCCTTTTCCACGCGAACAGCATGCACTAAATTTAACTCCGACTGTTTTGCTTTTTCAGGATTCTTGGGAAGAGATCCAGATTGGCAGCGTGAGGCTGCAGCGTGTAATGTCATGTGGAAGGTAACACGGTCGGATGCTTCACTCAGAACCACTTCATTTACAAAAAGCAGTGAATCCAAAACAGCTGCTGGTCATAAATGAGCTTCACTACTAAATTAATTTTGTTCCATTATTGTTGCAAGCAAAAAAACATGGATTGGAAATGGAAATTTAAAAAATGCAATGCAGTGATGAGGCTTTGAAAAATGACTTAATCAAAGGAAAGGTTTTGAGAGGAACTTTTTTGCTTACGTAGACTTTATTTTAATTGTTTTTGCTTTTAAAGTTTTAGTTTCTAAAACATTTTGTAATAAATTGATTCGTTTTGTATTTTATTTTTCCTAACTCGTTTTTCAGATTGAGTTTTACAATTGCATTCTTTTCAAATTGTGTTTCATTTATACAGTACACGTTCTTTTTACCCATGCCTAATAAAAATTTTCCTGCTAACATGGAGTAGACCAATAGAAAGGCATCCGGAGGACAGCCTGCCTGCAGAAATGAAGGGAATGTGATCTGTAAAAATAAATTGAAAATAATTCAATCAAACTGGCAAAAATGAAATTTTAAAAATTAAAAAAATTAAAATAAAACATATAAAAAATAAGTAAAAATAAATCATTTCAAAAAATTAAATCTAAGAAAGCAGCAAAACCCTTATTTGGATTAAAAAGTTTTCAAAGTTTGATTTCTGGAGTTGATAAAAGTTATTTTGCTCGCAACAATAATTGAACATAATTCACTCCATTCTTCCTGAGGCAAAAAAACAGCAATAGTTGCATGAGAACGGAGGAAACCGCAGTCTGTAATCTTTCTTTTATTTATATATATATATATAATGTTTTTTCTTTTATCATTTATAGGTGCCTTTTGACCACAGTTGACCCAGAGACAGGTGTGATGAGCAGAAAAGAGCCACTTGAAACACTGAAAAGGTAATGATAGGATTACAGATAAAAAAAAAAAAAACAATATAACATCCTTTCTTTGCTGGAAGTGTAGGATATAATCTCAGTTCCTGCATCATATTTTAGAAATAATTCCCACCATAAGATTAACTAAAGTTCAACAGTTTATATTAAAAAGCTGCTCTGATCACCCCTGCAGTGCTGGAATCAAGACCCCACCAACCGAGACCAAGGAGTACCAAGACAAGGCCAAGGCCTTTAGAGGCCAAGAATATATAAGGTTTTGGCCTTGTTTCGGTCTCTGTACTCCTTGGTCATAGTTTGTGTGGTGTTGATTACAACCCTACCTGCATCTTATAATACTACCTCTTTTTTTCTTTTTTTTGCCATACTGAATCACATTAAATCAGTGCTTCTTTCCTGTAAACGGTGTGAGCTGAGCTTCAAAAAGTTTGTTTTTTCTTAACATGGTAAATGGATGCAGATAGCTGCATGCTGTGTTAAGCTGTGTCAGAATGACCGCCATACCCCCTAATTTGCTATATAGAGTGGGGACTATATAGTGGACTAATTCGGGGCAGTAGAATGCTGGTGAAGATTCTCAGTCATCCAGGTCATAGTTATTTAAAAAAAGTTTTAAAATTTAAATAACAAACCACTGTACTTTGTTTTCCAAGTTTATAGACGTTTCGTTTCCAATCCAGGAAGCTTTCTCTGTTCAAAATGTCTGGATTCACATTGAGTTCCAAGCTTTATAGAGTAGCCCAACAAAACCTTGTTGTCCAGATAGTTTGAATAGAGTAAGCTTCCTGGATGGGAAACGAAACATCTTCATACTTGGAAAACAAAGTCCAGTGGTTTGTTTTTTAACTTTCTAATTTTTGGGGGGGAATTAGAGCAGTAGACCTTTAAATTCCAAGTTAGCCTGCCCTAAAAGCTACTGTTACGGCTGCACTGTCCCAAACACATTAAACACTCTACCTCCTTTAAGCCTGTTCACAGACCATTTTGGACCAGCAGAATGAAAGGTCATGGAGTTACTTTTAGGTCCGATTAGATTTAATCTTGCATCAGAAAATCCGAAATATGTCCAATCAAGTTAGTGTCACATGTGGTTTGTTAGCTAAAGACAACTTTTAGCAAAGTTTTTTTTAATCTAGAGCCTTTTTCAATCATATTCCAGTGACTTGTATGTAACTTTTATAGAGGTTAACGTTTTGTTTTCTTTACCTTTGCTTTACAGCTTAGACATCAACAGGCTAGGTTACAGTTTTAAAATAATCAACAACCACTATATTTGAAAGGTGATATTCCTTTCTCTCTCTATGAGGTTTGCACACATCTACAGAATGTTTTTGTTTTTTCTGCCCGTTTTCCTAAGCAGAATAGCTTAAGCTCAGTCAAATTGGATTGAAAGTGATCGTTAGCTTTCAACTCTTACTGTTTAAACCGTTCTGTTTTTGCTCTTGCTGTATAAACAGTCGGCTGTAATGCAGGAAGGTGAACAGTTTCTGCAGTTGCTAGTCTAAATCAGTATTATTCATCCACCTTTCCATTAACTAATCATCTTTCCTGTATCTGCCTAAGAGATGAGAACCTACAACAGTGGCAGAAATCTCAGGCTTTCACAGAACTGCTTGTTTATAATACATTTTCAAGGAACTGGTTACTTTTTTCAGGCAAAATCCCAACAAACAATTTCATACAAACAGTATATTTACTAAATATCAAACCTGTTTAGTTTTGCATCACACTTCTTTAGTTTTTTGAAGATTTCTTAACTTAAAACTTGTTGTAAACATAAGATGAGCGCTGTAAAACTTGAAATAAAGGAAAGTCAAATCAAAATGAGAAGGTAAGTTGGAGCAGGTAAGACAATTTGCCAATGATTTACATTAAAAAATAACTTATCTTATTTTATCTCATTTCCTATCATCTTATTAATCTGGTCAAATTTATGGAAAGTACACTTGTATTAGGAATATTTTGCTGATTTTTAGATTAGTTTTATTGCACCTGATAATCTATCAGATAGGTGCATACTTTTATTCTTGCTTTTTTAATTATAGTTTCCCTTTATTAAGTTATATTATTAAGTTAATAATATAATTTATTATTTAAGTTAAATTCCACATATGACATAAAACTATGTTGCAGCAACATTTTTCCTTCCAATCAAGTATAAGGCCAATGAAATGCAGTGTAGCCTGATGGGGATATTCTTTCCACAGCTACCGAATGTGCAAACCATCAGAGACACACATCTACCAAAAAAGCCCATTGTTCGGACAGCTGCACAATGTCAAGAAGACAGGGGTCATCCATGTTGGCGACGAAGTCTACAAGATCACCCATTAAATGAAGAAACATAACAGGATGGGATTTGAAGAGCATCAGCACATGTAGTCCTGGAAGAAGTAGAGCTTAATTCAAGTTTTGAAGCTCAGAGATCATTAAAATGTGTAATCATGTTGATTTTGTAAGCAAAATACTCTAAAACAATAAAAATAGTTCCTAACTTTTGCACCTTACATCTACTTGTTAATTATTGGAACACGTTGCTACTAAATTATGGTAATAGCTCTTATTAACCTTAAATAAGAGCTACAGGAAAAAGTGGACGTCATTGTGAATTTCTCTTTTCTTAGATTTCAAATTCTCTCAGTTAAAGTACTAACTTCTCTGACTGCATAAAAAGAGGCTTGTTCTCCCCCCTTGGCTTTACAATAAATATGCAATCTTTTAAGCATGGAATGCTTCAATACAGGACCGCGCCACAGAATTGGTTTAGTTTCAGTTCCATGCATTGGCCACTAGGTGTCAGTGTGACTTTATTTTAATCATGAAAGCAGGACATAATCTTATCTACAGTCATGGCAAAAAGTATTGAGAATGACACAAATATTATTTTTTCACATGATCTGCTGCCCTCTGGTTTTCATGTGTGTATGTCAGATGTCATCACATACAGAAATATAATTGCAATCATATGAGTAACAAAAGCTTTTAATGACAGTATGAGTTAATGCAGCAAGTCAATATTTGCAGTGTTGACCTCTCTTCTTCAGGACCTCTGCAATTCTCCCTGGCATGCTCTCAATCGACTTCTGAACCAAATCCTGACTGATAGCAGTCCATCCTTGCACAGTCAATGCTTGCATTTTCCAGAATTCTTAGGTTTTCGTTTGTCCACCCATCTTTTGATGAAGGACCACAAGTTTTCAATGGGATTAAGATCAGGAGAGTTTCCAGGCTATGGACCCAAAATCTCTGTTTTGTTCCCTGAGCCAGTTAGATGTCACCTTTGCTTTATAGCAAGGTGCTCCATCATGCTGGAAAAGGCATTGTTCATCACCAAACTGCTCTTGGACGGTTGGGAGAAGTTGCTCTTGGAGGACATTCTGGTACCATTCTTTATTCATGGCTGTGTTTTTAGGTAAGACTGTGAGAGAGCCAACTCCCTTGGCTGAGAAGCAACCCCACACATGAATGGTTTCAGGATGCTTTACAGTTGGCATGAGACAAGACTGATGGTAGTGCTCACATCGTCTTCAAGCTGTTTTCCAGTTGTCCCAAACAATCGGAAAGGGGATTCATCAGAGAAAATGACTTTACCCCAGTCCTCAGCAGTCCACTCCCTGTACCTTTTGCAGAATATCAGTCTGGCCCTGATGTTTTTCCTGGACAGAAGGGGCTTCATTGCTTCCCTCCCTGAGACCAGGCCTTGCTCCAAGAGTCTCCACCTCACAGTGCATTCAGATGCACTGCTGAAACACTTTTCAGAGACGGTCCTGCTGCTTGCTGGTCTTTCTTGGGCGCCCTGGAGCCTTTTTGGTAACAATGTAACCTCTCTCCTCAAAGTCCTTGATGATGCGATAGATTGTTGACTATGGTGCAATCTTTCTAGCTGCAATTCTCTTTCCTGTTAGGCCATTTTTGTGCAGCGCAATGATGACTGCACATGTTTCTTTAGAGATAACCATGGTTCACAGAAGAGAAACAATGATGCCAAGCACCAGTCTCTTTTTAAAGTGTCCAGTGGTGTCATTCTTACTTAATCATGACAGATTGATCACCAGCCCTGTCCTCATCACCACCCACACCTGTTTTAATGGAGCAATCACTGAAACAATATTAGCTGGTCTTTTTAAGGCAGGGCTGCGATGATGTTCAAATGTGTTTTGAGGAGTAAAGTTCATTTTCTAGGGAAAATATTGACTTTGCAATTAATTGCTGTTACGCTGATCACTCTAGAACATTCTGGAGTATATGCAAATTGCCGTTATAAAAACTGAAGCAGTAGACTTTCTAAATAACATTTGAATCATTATCCAAACTTTTGGCCATGACTGTACAGGTGTTGGTCATAAATTTAGCAAGTCATGAACATTTTGATTTTAAGTCCTTTATTTCAGAAGTGAGACTTGCGCACTATATTCATGAGTGCGCAAGTCTTTTGCTATCTGACAACTAATGACGACCCTAAATTCAGTAACCCGGAAAATTTGGATATTCCTTAAGACCAATACAAAAATGATTTCTAAAAATGTTGGCCAATTGAAAGATATGAGCATGGACAGTACTCGATACTAGATTCACTCTGTGGCACTGCCATGGTGTTATGAGAGCCCAGGCTCCTCTGATAGTTGCCTTCAGCTCTTCTGCATGGTCAAGTCTGGTGAATCACATCTTCCCTTGTTACACGATCCATTTTATTTAGGGTTAAGTTCAAGCGATCTTGTTGGCTAATTAAGAACAGGAATTTCATGATCCACAAAACATGTACTATTAGTTTTGGAACTATGCAGGTACTAATTCCTGTTGTAAAATTCAATCTGCATAAAGTTGGTCAGCAGCAGGGAGCATGAGGTGCTCTAAAGCTTCCTGGTAAACAGCTGGACCTCAGAAAAAATAGTGGACCAAAACCTGCAGATGACATGGCACCACAAACAACCATCGACTGGAAACTACACTGCACTCAAAGGAAACGGAAAATAAATGTTGATTGTGGACCAAATCAGCAGCAGTCCAGTCTTTGTCTTCAGCCTAGGAGAGACTCTTCTTAAAAGGAAATGCGACAGCTGAAACTCATGTCTTGTTGATGTCTGTGCCTGGTAGTCCTTGAAGCACTGACTCCAGCTGAAGTCCACTCCTTGTGAATGACCGTCACATTTTTGAATGGGTCATCTTACAGTCTTCTCAAGGGTGCAGTAGTGATAACTGCATAAACGCTTTTTTTTTTTACCAGTTTTATCCTTTATTTTGCCTCTCTATTAATGGGCTGGGCACAGAGCCCTGTAAACCGCTAGCTTCCGAAGCAATGACCTTTTGTATTTAATCCTCCTTGTGAAGGGTATTAATGCTTGTCTTTTGGACAATTTTCAAGTCAGCAGTCTTCCCTAACCCCTTGCTCACACTGGCTCCGGTGCGGTTACCGAGCCGACGGAGACCGCAACTCCCGCACACCCCCTCTCACACCGCCCTTTTGACTACGGTGCGGTGCGGCTCTGCGGCTCCGGCAACAGGTCCGGAGATTTAACAGAAGTTCACTTGAGTTCACGTAACTTCACGCGATAACACGGCCCAAACAAGGATATTTGCGAGAGCTTGTTGCGGAGGGCTCCGGCATGCCGCAAGGATAGCTTTCGTAGTCAAAAGGGCGGTGGGAGAGGGGGTGTGCGGGAGTTGCGGTCTCCGTCGGCTCGGTAACTGCACCGGAGCCAGTGTGAGCAAGGGGTTAATTGAGAGACAATTCAAAGACCTTTGCAGGTGTTTTGAGTTGTTTTGCTGATCAAAGTGTGGCACCAGGTGTCTTCAGTATTGGACCTCTTCACATTATACAGAATTTTAATTTACATTTATAATGATCTGAATTCAAATAAACACATTAAATATATCAGACTGTGTGTAATGAATGAACATAATATAAAAGTTGTATCTTTTGAACGGAATTAAGCTACCTTTTCATTGTCATTTAATGACCGGCTACTGTATAGATCCATAGGGTAGTAAGTTCTACATCTAATCACATTTGCTACTTGAGTTTGTAATTTATTCATTTGCTATTAGATCAGACTGAATCAGACATCAGAATGTTGTTTTTTTTTACACTTTTGCATGTTAAAACCCTGAACTAAAGTCTTCTGCATATAATAGATGGACTGACACAATAATTATATAGTAGTGTCTTTACGGGAGATATATACAGTGATACAGCTAATGAACTAACTTGATGAGTTAATCTTTGGCTGCAAGTCTTTGGAGTATATTTCTAATATGGACCTTTGGAAACCAATAATTTATCCAATATTTGCAGCATAGTTCAAGCTCAGATAGATTCTAAGGATCTTTTTTTGTCTTGCAACCAGTTTTTAATTTGAACAGTCTGTAGTTAAACTGAGTCGTATTATTGCATAAAAATGCTAATAGCTGTTCTAAGGTAAGCTTTAAACCCATTATTTTGTGTTTTATTCCACGGTTCCCCCCTGTATTTCACTCCATACAGTCTCTCGTACTGTGAATAAATTTCCCCCCTCTTACTTGGAAAAAATACCCCCCCAACTAAAGCTAAATGGATATATACGCAGGCCAGTGTGTTGTGTCATACCTCGCTGTTCTTTCCCTTCCAGTATGGGTTAGTGGCAGAGCTGCATTTTTCACAAAGCTGTGAGGAACTTGCCAGCATTGGTTTCAATCCAAGAAAACCCTTTTTGGAGGACCAGGTCAATCACATACTAAATTAAAACTTGCCTTGATAAGCATTAATGCATTATCATTGCTTAGTTCTTTAAATTTATGATGATTTATAAGATTAATATGAGTGGGAATGCATGATCAGAGAAATAGGAAACTATAAAGTAGCAATGACTGGTACTATTACGATACTATTTTTGTAAAGAAAAAACTAGAGGAATATTCAGTTTTTGTTCTAATGCAAACCAGACATATTTTTTAAGAATCTTCAATGTAATGGGTAAATGTTTTACTCAATATTATTCTTAGAGTGATCTGTGATCTGACTTTCAAGAATCCCTGTTATCTAATTGCTCCTCTTTAATCAGGTTGATATGGGAATACCTACTAAGAGCAGATGTTCTGGACAAAAGAGCCTTGATGATAATCGGGAATATAAGGACTTGCCTCAATTTCTGTGCTTGAATCTTGGCCTCAAACATAGAGAATGAATTAAGGGGGGGACACATCAGATGCTGTATCCTTCCCCCAAGCTGTTTTCTGTTTACTGTAACATTGATATGCTGTGGGAGGGATTTCACTTCAAAATGGCTTCAAAAAGCAGATTTTTTTTTCTTTTTTTTTTGCTATTGGTCAACATCAACCCCTTTTATAAGAAAGAGAAAAATCCTATATATGTACCGGTACTTCT